CCCCCACACCTTCCCCACCCCATCATCTCACCAATGACATAGGACAGTATGAGGTTCCAGCCAGTGATGAAGGCACACAGTTCTCCCACTGTGACGTAGCTGTAGAGGTACGCAGACCCAGAACATGGTACCCGGGCCCCAAACTCCGCATAGCAGAGCCCGGACAGCACAGAAGACAGGGCGGCCACCAGGAAGCAGATGACGATTGCCGGTCCAGCTTTGTCCTTGGCCACCTCTCCAGCCAGGATGTACACGCCAGCCCCCAGGGTGCTGCCCACACCCAAGGCCACCAGGTCGAGGGTGTTCAGACAACGAGCCAGGCGACTCTCAGACCCCTCCCTGGGCTCCAGCAGCTGCCTGCGGACCAGCTTCTGACCGAATCGGAGAACATCCTGACACAGCATTCTAGACGGAGTTGAGGAGGCTCAGATCTGCTGAGAGAACGAGACAAAAAATTATCAAGGATGTCCATCCACCCTTGGCCCTGGGACACAAATTCCATGGAGCAACGGACTTATGGGGAGCAGGTGGTAAAGGGACACACTGAGCAAGTTCTCCAACTCTGAGCTTTGATTTCTTCAAACATAAAGAAGACTTTTAATATATTTCAAAGTTCCCGGAAGAGCGGCTTGAAGAGAAGTGAGGGGGAAAGGAACCAGTCTCCCCAGATGTGCCACTTTGGCATGTGGATTGCTTGGCAGTCAAGACCCAGCAGGCTCAGGGAAAGCTCTCTGCCTCTCCCTTAACTGCTCAGAATAATCTAGGTCAGGAGGCCCATGCCAGGAAGAGAGCTATTAAGAGAGGTAATTTTTTATTTCAAGGATATGTCTGCATCAAGTGGCAAATATTTGTTTATCAAGCATTTGCTCTTCCCACCTTCCTGGAGTTGTCTTCCTCCCCTTTGAAGCCCCAGATCCCTACCTCCTTCTCCTTAGCTCAGGGTAGCATATAAGCCCCCATTGCCTGGCTGTCTTTGAGCCTCAGTTTTTGTGTCACCTATACATAGGAAATTAGTTAATCTGTCTTATGTCAATTCAACTATTAGACCAGGCAAGAAAAGTTTCCCACCCCTACAGAAGCAAAAGCTTCCAGCACAGTGCCTGGCACACAGCAGCTGCTTAATTGGGATGAGGTGAGTAGATAAGAATATTGCTTTATTTTTTTTTTAGCAAAATCAGTCAGCCCTGCTGGTTCAGAGCTAGCACTGCTCTGTGTGGCTTTGATTTTGCACAAGCTGTATACTACTTTGTCCTCATTTCCTCCATAAAACAGGGGAAATTATTGCCATTATCCCCTCCCTTCCTTCATGTGTGTCAAGAGACAGTTTAAGGGGCTCAGTGATCGGATAAATTGAAAGCAAGTCCCCCCAAAACCAAGTTCCCTTGCCAAGTTTATGATTAATCTCTCCACCCAAAACTTTATTCCCTCTCTTGTCCCACCCTTTTCCCTTCAGGACTGAGGAGTATCAAAGAAAAGGGGGGATTGAAACTGAGCAGGACCCTGCAGGACCCTCCTAGGTACAAAAGTTCCTCTGTGCCCCCCAAGTTTCTAGAGAAAGGCTCAAGTCTCCTGGGCCTTCCCGGAGTTCCAAAATGCAGGTCCACCAGCACTGATTAGGGAAGTGATGGGACATGGACACAAAGGAAAAGCAGTGCTAAATGGCCTTGACGGAAAACAAAAACAAAAACAAAAACAAAGCAGCAGGGGGCCAGCTGGAAATGGAAATTCTTAACCTGTCATGTAGGCTCTAAGTAAATAATAAAATGCCTCAGCCATTGTTTCTGCTCTGTCCTACAGAGAAGTTAAGAGATCACAAGACCATGATTGACTCTTTGGCTTCACAGGGTCAAACACAATCACCAATGACCCCTTGAGTCACAAAATGGTGCCAGGAAGTCTGCAGCTCAGCTCTTATCTGGAGACTGAAACCACAAAGACCCCTTTACACTGTTACCTTTAAAAAACCTTGCAACCCTGCTCACCAGCAAAATGGATTTGAGATAAACCTGCTTATCCCATCTTCTCAAGAGGGCGGTGCCCTCTCCATCAGTAAACCTTTCTCTGATCCAAACTTTTTCGTTTGTTTGGGCAGGAACTTGGATTCACCAACAAACTCATGCCCCACACATTTTTATACCAGGAGTCCTGAAACCTGGTAGCTGCCTGTGCCATTGCCTGCAGAGTGAAATGGAACTGGAACTCTGAGTTGGGGCAGAATGAGACGGATTTGTAGGGAGGGACAGACTCTAGCCCAGTGCAGTGACAGCATCAAACCAGAGCAGCCTCGCAGTTGCCTGGAGGGAGGGAGGACTAACCTTCTTTCTGAATCAGAAATGACAGGACTCTGCGTCCTATCCTTTGGGGCTTGGAATGTCTCCTTGCTGCACGGCTCTGCAGGGCGAGGCTGATCCAGGCAACACAAGTTACCATCTCAAGGCTCCACCCATGATATCCCTGAAGTCCCAAGTTTTGCATTTTGGTTTAGAGGAAGCAGTTAAAGAGCCAAGAAACTATGATTTGAATCTCGGCCCCTCCACCACCCCTGTGCCTTTGAACAAGCCATTTACTGCTCTGGACCTCTGTGCGCCTCCTGTTCAAATGCTGCTGCTGAAGCCTCGTGCACTGTTAGTAGGAATGTAAAATGGTGCAGATGTTGTGGATAAAGCATGAAGTTTCCTTTAAAAATTAAGAAAGGAATTACCATATGATCCAACAATTCCACTTCGGGGTGTACACCCAAAAGAACTGAACATAGGGTCTCAAAGAGGTATTTGTACACCCATGTTCACAGCAGCATTATTCAGAGAAGCTGAAAGATGCAAGCCACACAAATATCCATCCCCAAATGAATAGATAAACACAGTCTGGTCTATACACACAGTGGAATATTACTCAGCCTTAAAAAGACGGGAAATTCCGATCCATGCTACAACATGGAGGAAACTTGAGGACACTATGCTAAGCGACATAAGCCAGTCACAAATATACAAATATTGTACAATTTCACTTCTATGAAGCACCACAAGTACTCAGACTCCTAGAAAGCAGAATGGTGCCAGGGGCTGGCGGGGCATGGCAGGGTGGCGGGAGGATGGAGAGTTGTTACCTGGGGCCAGTTTCAGCTTTACCAGATGAAAAGTGTTCTGGAGATTGGTTGCACAGCAATGTAAATATACTTCATGTTACTAAACTATACACTTAAAAGTGATGAAGGTGGTTAATTGCATGTTATGTGTGGTAAAGTTACCACCATTTTTAAAAATTGCTGCCAATGATAAATAGCAGAAAGAGTTTCAGAGTCACTTGATGTACAAAGCCCATGGGGATTAAATCATCACGGTAATCCCCCACAGAGACTAATATCCACGAGTGCTCAAGTCCCTTACAGCGCCACCCCCCACCCCCCACCCTGCAGAGGAGGACTCCACAGACACAGAGGGCCAACAGTACACAGGAGACTGAAATCAGTGGTCCACATATCATAAACCCTCTATAAGCATAGTCTTTACTGTCATTTGAACATCAGTCAAATTATGAGTCTCAGAGCCTCCAGACACTGATACGATCTCCCCCCACCTTTCCTCTTCTCACACAAACACACACAGCTCCCAGCTCCTGCTTTCATCCACTTGCCACCCTCAGGCTGAAGCTGGGCTGACCCAACTGCACACTTGGATGCAGAGGGCTGTTTAGGAGTATCTGAACTCAGCACCCAGTCTCCTACAGCAGAGGGGTTGCCCCAGACTTACAGGATCCTTGGAGCAGAGCCTGGAGCACTGGGCCGAGTCAGTGGAGTGGAGTTCACGCTCTGTAGGAGTGGAGCTGGTAGATCTCTACAAACCAAATCCGGGAACCCTTATGCACAAAAGACAACTTTTAACCCCTGGGTGGGAGTGGGCGGGGATGGGTGGGGCAAATCTGCAGTGATAAAATTAGCCAGTTGTTACCCTTCAGGGGATAGTTCTGAAGTTTTGTGTCGGTGAGGTAAAATACACATAAAATTTATCATTTTAAATGGGAGAAAATATTTGCAAATGATGAGACGACAAGGGACTAATTTCCCAAATACACAAGTGGCTAGTACAGCTTTATATATAAAAAAACAAACAAACAATGCAATCAAAAAATGGGCAGAAGCCCTAAATAGACATTTCTCCAAAGAAGATATACAGATGGCCAACAGGCACATGAAAAGATGCTCAACATTGCTAAGTATTAGAGAAATGTAAATCAAAACTA